CTCCTTGATGGAAGTAATCAGGAAAAAGGGGGGCATTTGTGTTGTATGCCCGAATGGACGGGAAATGGATCTGGGTTTGATGAGGATCTGGTGGATGATGGGAGGSAAGCGAGTTGCTGCATTTTCTACAAAAGCAATGGCAATAAAAAAGAGAGCTTGAGACGATCTTGAAGTTCCAGGTTTTCACCTTGCTGCTTTTGGCACCTGAAATGTTTTAGTTGCAGTTAGAGTACAATGTCAAGTAGGTGTGTGGGGGATTAAGAAGTTGACAGTGGCATTTGCAGCATTAGGTGTGTTTCATGCGTGACGGTGATGTACTCGCAGATGAAGCATGCACCATGATTTGGCTATGCCAAGTACATCAGGATTGTTCATACTTAGCAAGGTTAACACAAAATTGAATTTGGCTTGTAAATGAATTTGTGGATTCACTTACTTTATGAGCATCTGATTTTGCTCTGTTTTTTTGTGAAGTGATAATAATGATGCCTTGTCAATATTGAGAATTGCAGCTCAACGTTGAAGACCTGCTGCACAGGTCCACAGCAGTATTGCGGCAAGAACTTCCAATATTTTTTTTTAATAATAATCTAGTAATAATAGTAAAAATGACTGCAAAGCACAGTATAATTTGGTAGGTCTTGCTTTGGCATCAGCAGAAGTTCTCTAAAATAATTCTCAACATTAGTAAAGGCAGGAGGCAGAACTGTTATACAAATAGGAATTTTGAGCAAATGAAACTGCACTGATGTTTAAACAGTAGTTTTGATAACTGAAAAGCAAACGAACAATTTCTTCAATTGGAAGATCATCTGGATAATCTTCCACAAATGAGTTACACATGTATCCAGAAAGCCAGTGTACAGATCTGCTTTTGCCAAAATGTTGCATTTTTTTCTGGACTGGATTCTCTATTAAGGAAAAAGCTCTCTCTGTCTCATTACAAAAATGAACCCACACCGACTCACCCTCTTGAGTAACTGGTCTTTTGAGTTGCCTGGGAAAATAATCAACTTTTAACTAAAGAGGAATTTTGTAGTGTTTGCTCTGATCTGACACCAAAGCGGCTATGCTGTAAACATTAAGTCAGGCTTTCCAGCCTAATTAATTGAGTAATGTCTACTTATATTGGACTTTGAAGGTGTTTATTTTCCAAAGCCAGCTTTTTTTTCAGGAAAGAGGTCCTGTGTTGAAGCTATTAATGTGATAATTTGATTCCTAAACACATGATCTCATTTTCAAGGTTTTGAATACAAAGCATRCAAAAATCTTGGCTTTATTTTATTTTATTAAATTTAGTTTATTGCTGTGAAGAAGGAGGAGTCATGAAAGCAGAAAAACTTCGTGTCTTTTATTGTGTCATGTGATCCTATGGTCCCTTTAGCCTTGGATGAAAGAACATCTGCAGGAGGGGGTCTTGTTAGGTGTGAGTAGATCCCTATCAGCTTGAGGTTGCTGCTCAAAGTGGCATCTCTTCCTTACTTCAAGGTGATTCATGTGCACTGTGTCCTGGGATGATGCTAAAGATGCCTTGTGTCTAGTTGCCTAGATGCAACTATTCTTGCATCTTTTTTTTTTTTGCCATAAGTTGAGCTTTCTACCTTGTAGCTCTGAATGTGATGAGTAAAGGAAGAAGCTCATAAAGGAACATCCATTGTGAAAGACCAAGCACCCAAGTACAAGCTCTTCCCTTTCACTGCCAACAACAGGCTGACAAAATGCACCTAGGTGTTAAGAGAAGTAACAGTACTGGATATTGGGTAGCATGCAGTGTACACCTTCCCCTATGTTAAGGCTTTTATATATGATCCTGTCTTGGATACTAACAGATCTGGGGAGAAAAAGTCCTGACTAGTCTAAGTGGCTGAATTGTAAAGCTTCTAACTAACATGACACCATTTTCCTATACTGGATTGTGTATGACGGTGCTTGACCATACGCTTACTGGTTGCTCTATTTGCTCCTCAGTACTAAGAGTAGCATATAGAGCAACCAACTATGGGTGGAGACTTTTGAAACACTGAAAAGATGTCTTATTCTTGGCTTCTTTAATTTAGGATTTAGACAGGTTTCCTGAATTGCAGTCTAGAGTCCATATGCCCTTAGGTATCCTCTATTACAAACATACATGTTTTTTCTCCCATTYTGCAGTAGTGGTTATTTTGAATAGTTTGGCCTCCAGGTTTTTTTTTGTCTTTCATTTTGTTTTGCTTTCATGTGAAAATGCATTTCAGTATTGRGGTGGTATGAAACCTTTGGCTTCCTCCAGCTCTTCCCCCAGTTTCCCTCCTGTTGAGACAAAACAAAATAAATGATTACTACAGATCACGTAGGCTAATGAGTAGAACCCCGCTCTCATTACAGAGATTTCTTACACCTTGGTGCGACCTCCATGTGGTAGTGGTAAGCAATGACACACATGGGAGGGCCGCCAACAGGCTGGCCAAGGGCTGGCGGGTCTGTGGCTCCCTGCACCCTGTGCTCACAGGGGCTCCCTGCTTCTCGGCGTGTTCCGAGGGCTGCTGCAGGGTTCCTCACATACTGCTTCCTGGAAAGAAATCTCAGGAGAGAGCCCTGTTTCAAGGCAGACTGCCATGAGCTTTGTGCCAAGGACAAATATGTTAGATCAGAGAAATGTGTAGCAGGACATCCTGCTTGGGTGCAACAGGGATAGTCCTTTCTCTTCTCTAGCTGCATCTCTCTGCTCTCCTTTTGCATTTTCCAGTGCTTTGGTCTAATTACAGTCTTGGGTTCCCTAAGATCCTGTCTCCCATGTTCTTTTGACCCATTTCTACGATAGGTTTGGTAAATTAAATGAGCTCCTTTCACAGCTTGTTCTGTGAAATCATACCTGTGGCTGAGTGATATGCTGTTCATTAGGGAAAGGAAATTTATTCCTTGCCACAGTTACTCTAACACAGCGTGAGGATTAATCTTCCCTCCTACTTGCGTATGGAGGCCTCAGCTAAGGCCAGCAGAATTAATATGATGCTAAATGCAACTGACTTTAAGGGAGGAGCTTGTTCRTGTTTGCTTTGAAGTATTGACTTTCTCACACTGGAAGGTCATTTGAATGTCTTCTGAGAATTACTGAAATATTTATTGATTTCAGCTACTTTTTATTATACCTCTTCTTCCCGCTTTCTGTTTTGCCTTCTGTTAACAGGTAACCAGGCTGCTTGTGGTTTTGCTACAGAAACTGATGAATACAGTGCATAGAAAGAGGCAGAAATGTTGAGGGAGGGTTATTTGGGAATGCAACAACTGCATTTAAAAATTAAAGATGGAGTAGTTATTGGGAAAGGGAGAGCAGCGCAGAAAGGTGATCCCTTGCCGGAGGCTGGGAGCCCCCCCTTGCTCTGCAGAGCAGGAGGTCGTGGTGAAGCGGGGCAGGGTGAGCTGTGCGACATGGCAGGCTCCAGGCTCGGAGAATACCCATCACTTTGCACCCTGCTCCCTCTGCCTCCACAGGGGCTGGTGTTGTTGGAGAGGGCCGGGTTTGGCCCTGACTGGAGGGCGATTTTGGCTTGTATCCCTTAGACCGKGTGAGCTGCCCACCCCCCGTGATGTGTGAAGCTGAACCGTTGTCTCATCGCAACGACAGCTTAAAACTGTACAGGGAATAATTTTCAAAATCTGCTGTTGAGAATTTTCAAGGAAATCCCTTCCTCCCATGTACCGCGGCTAACAGCACTTCAAATATTTCCGCACTGTTAAAAAGCCCCCAAGGAAGCAAGCTGCCGGTTCCATGTTTGCATTACCTTGGTGCAGCGCAGAGAGAGAGCTTCAGTGCAGAGATTAAAAATCACGGCGGAACCAGCAGGGCGGGTGCTGATGGAGACGCCCTGGCACCGTGCCAGTATTATATTCCTTGTTGCAGGTGGAAAAGCTGGAGCTAGGACTTGGGGAGCGGAGAAGGGGAAGCCTTGATGCTGCCATTTGTTACCTCTCAGAGACATTTTGCAACCAACATCTTCTTTGGTCTAAGTGGGGAGATACATCCTTTCGGTGCCTCTTCCCAAGAGCTCAAGAACAATATCCTGGTGTCTGTGCCTGATAGCTAATGAATTAAGGGAGCAACTACATTGTCTAGACCATGGACATGGTGATAAATTATTTCGGTGAACTTGAATTTGAGAGAAGCCTGAAAACGCTTGGCTGACCCTTAAGCCCTCTTCCCGTTTTAATTTTATTTAGGACATTGTTACCATGTATRCATTTTACACAGATGGTTTGAATAGAGCGATAAGCCTGCCTTAGGTGGGCGGATGTATTTACATTTTAACAGAAATCTTAACTCAAAAAGCAATTAAATGACACAATGCATTTTTTAAAGCAGCCTTCTTTCTAAATATTTGTATTTTGATTCCTCTCAGCTTTACTGTAAGCCTGCAGTTCCTTATTTAATTCCTCCCTTTCCCCAGCGGAGAAGGCAGATAACACAAATTGCCATCTCTCTGTGCTGAGCAAGCCTTACATTGCCTTCATGTGCATGTGTTCCTGGGTGTTTAGATATATGCAATTTCAAATAAATAGAAGCATCATTATCATATTGTTTAAAGCAAAGCAAATTCCTCTCTGTCACCTACTGATTTAAACACTGTAGCTGGTGCTCAGTTTATGCTGGCTGGCTGCCAAGCGAAAGCAATTATGTGCAATAATAGCAAAATTAAGAGGTGAGTGTTGCCGTTTTACAGCAGGACATGGCAAAAACCATTTCCTTCTGTCAGCTGTATCTTGATGGCGCAGTCACAGGCGGGCTCCCGCACACACGTTTGCACATACAACCGTTCCTTCTTGCTCCCTCTCCTTCCTGTGGGTTTCAGCTTGAGGTCACCGAAACCAGAAAAGAGGAAGAGGACCGACCACAGCTTTTGAAAGCGAATGAGAATAAAGCTCTCGCTTTGTGTATTGGGGAAAAAAAAAAAAAGAAAAGAAAAAAACACTCCTCTAGTTATTGTTCTGGCTGCGATAATACTTTGTTTTTCTCCGACCGGCAGGTGTTCTGGTGGTGAATGTTACATGGAGGAACAAGACCTACGTGGGAACGCTGCTGGACTGCACAAAGCACGACTGGGCCCCTCCCAGGTAGGCGAGTGCTCTGCGCTCTCCCTCCCCCGCCATCCGCGTCAAGAAAATTCAGAGATTAATAAAAAACAACTGGGTGTAATTGAAAACATGCATCAGTGAAATGAATAATTCTCTGTTCCACATTGGAAAGCAGAGACGTTAGGGTGAGTGGTTTTGCTTCCTTTTGTTTGGTCTTTCCGAGGGGGGAGGAAATCCCCTGTGGGATTGAATCAAAGGGGAATTTATTTTAAAATACATTTTTATAAGTTTGGAAACATTTTCTCTTTGCTGTTCCAGTTAGATGCTTTTTTACATTTTGTGAGTGGTGTTTTTTTTNTTTTTTTTTTTTTTTTTGGGCCAAACACATCCTTCCTTGAACGTGGCTGAAGGCCCTGTTATGGAAAGCGGTGCTGCTGCAGTATTGTTCAGTTTGCAGCTCMTGCTGATGACATCTGCTCTTGTTTCTATAGGTTTTGTGAGTCGCCAACGAGTGACCTGGAAATGAGGGGAGGCCGGGGCCGGGGGAAGCGGGCCAGGTCGGCTGCGGCTGCAGCCATACCCGGCAGCGACACAAGCTTTGCAGAGTCCAGAGGGCTCCAGGGCAAGAACCGCGGTGGCGCCAACGGGAAGGGGCGCAGGGGCAGCCTGAACACAAGCGGACGCAGGACACCCCCAAACTGTGCCATCGACGACATCAAAGCCAGCCCCTCGGCCACCAACAAGAGGAAGAATAAGCCTCCCATGGAGCTAGATTTGAACTCCAGCTCAGAAGACAATAAACCGGGAAAACGTGTCCGTACTAACTCCAGAAGCACTCCCACCACCCCCCAGGGGAAGCCTGAGACCACGTTTTTGGACCAAGGCTGCTCTTCCCCGGTGCTGATTGACTGTCCTCACCCCAACTGCAACAAAAAGTACAAGCACATTAATGGACTGCGATACCACCAGGCTCACGCACATTTAGACCCAGAAAACAAACTGGAGTTTGAGCCTGACAGCGAAGACAAAATTTCAGACTGCGAGGAAGCGCTGAGCAATGTGGCACTTGAATGCAGCGAGACAAGCACAAACATGTCCGGCTTTGATCCACTGAAAGCACCGATGTCTCCTTCCCCCATCACCACCACAGGGACCCCAAAGGGGAAGAGGGAGCTGACCAGCAACGGCCCCAGTTCAGTTATCAGTTCCAAAACTGGCAAGAATTCAGGCAAAAAGAAGGGTCTGAGCAGTGAACTGAACAGCCTTCCAGTAATTGCTAACATGGCGGCCACCCTGGACAGTTGCTCGGTTCCAGATGGCAGCTTGCAGACCGAAATGCCCAAGCTGGAGGCTGAAGGGCTCATAGAAAAGAAAGGTTTGGGTGATAAAGGCAAAAAAGCTAACAACTGCAAAGTGGATAAAAACCTTTCCAAACTGAAAACAGCCAGGCCCATCGCCCCTGCGCCAGCACCCACTCCTCCCCAGCTGATAGCGATACCTACTGCGGCCTTTACAGCCACCACGGCAGGGACAATACCGGGATTGCCCTCTCTGACGACGACTGTTGTTCAGGCGACACCAAAGAGCCCTCCACTAAAACCTATTCAACCAAAGCCCACCATCATGGGAGAGCCAAGCACTGTCAACCCATCTCTTGCGTCGCTCAAAGACAAAAAGAAAAAGGAGAAGAGAAAGATAAAGGACAAGGAGAGCAAGGATACTGGGAGCCCAAAGGTGGATTCCAAGCTGGGAAAGCTGGAGGATTCAAAGGGCTCTGGGAAGGATTTGTCTGGCCATTTTTTAAAGGACCACCTCAACAAGAGTGAGGTGTTAGCCAACGGGCTGTCGGAGTCGCAGGAGAGCAGGATGGCGAGCATCAAGGCCGAAGCCGATAAGGTTTACACGTTCACAGACAACGCGCCCAGCCCGTCCATCGGCAGTGCCTCCCGCATGGAGTGCAGCACGCTGGTCAACGGGCAGTCCTCGCTGGCGCCGCTGCACGTGTTGACACAAAACGGGGCGGACGGCGCGGCCGCGAAAACCAACAGCCCTGCTTATTCCGATATCTCTGATGCGGCCGATGACGGCGGCTCTGACAGCCGGTCGGAGGGCATGAGGTCAAAGGCCAGCTCTCCGTCAGACATTATTTCTGGTAAGGACAGCATCGTGAAAGGGCATTCTGCGACCGTGGCACAGTCGGCTCAAGCAAAAGAGTCCCATTCTCCCTATTACCATGGCTACGATCCCTATTATTCTCCAAGTTACATGCACTCCGGACAGGTCACTGCCACTGCAGCTGGGAACAGTAGCACACCACAGGGGATGAAGATTAAAAAAGAGACCGAGGAAGAGGCTGAGAAGAAAGAGAAGATTGAGCCGTTGGACCCCAAGAAGATTGAAACTGGCTCCTCTAATTTGCAGCCGCAGCATCAGTCTGTAATTACACAAAGACACCCTGCACTTGCCCAGTCACTTTATTACGGCCAGTATGCTTATGGACTGTATATGGACCAAAAGTCCTTAATGGCCTCCAACCCTGCTTACAGGCAGCAGTATGAAAAATACTACGAGGACCAGAGACTAGCAGAACAGAAGATGGCACAAACTGGAAGAGACTGTGAAAGGAAGAACGARCCCACTCTGAAGGATATAGGGAAGGATGATAACAAGCAGAAGAATATCCCATCTGCTACAATTTCAAAGGCCCCTTCAACTCCAGAGGCAAGCAAAAATAACACTAAATTAGGGCCATCAGTCCCTAACAAAGGTGAGGAGACGAGCAAATCGCAGATCCTCTCCAATCACCAGCAGCAGCTTCAGACCGACAGTTTCAAAGCCAAACAAATGGAAAACCACCAGCTCATAAAAGAGGCTGTGGAGATGAAATCGGTCATGGACTCCATGAAGCAGACGGGAGTAGATCCCACCAGCAGATTTAAACAGGTGAGATCACAGGAAATGCAGTGTAGGTGTCTTGATGATTTATTCTTATTCATGTGAGATTTTGTCCCCAATTTTGTCACCATCTTGTTACCTTCACAGTGAAACTAGTGCAGCCATCCCTTTCTTTATTTTTTTCTTCTTTTTAGATAGTACTATAGTCAGTCGATAAACCATCAGGCCTTTCAGTTGATCTGAAAAGAGGAAAAAAAAAMCAAGTTATCTAGCGAAGTGGTGACAGAATCCAGGCTTAYAATACGACCAGACTATTTAAAATTATATGCAAGAATAAAATAGCTTTCTCTTTTAGATGTAAATTCCAAGCAATTTACTTGGTTCAGAAATGGAGAATTTGAAGCAAAATAAGCAGCTTTCATTGTGAAAGGACTTAAAGTAGATTTGAAACAGTTTGAAGTGTTTCTTTTTTTTCTTTTTCCTTTTTTTTTTGTTAAATGACAGTTGGCATTTACTAAAGATGGGTGAGCTGATTCTTTGAAGAGTTGGCTTGAAGCTCAGCTCTTTATCTTAACCCAAGGTGACCTTTTCCAAACAGTTAAGTTCCTCTCCTCTCCCAACCCCCAGCCCCTACAGCCCTACACAATGGATGAAACCATCTTGCCACTGAAGTCAGTGCTAGTTTTGCCATTGACTTCAGTGGAGCGAAGATTTCATCCAGTGGCTCATGCTGACCCTCCTAGATGTTGGGTTTCCTTCGGTGGAGGTAATGTTACTGTCTCTGTGCTCAGAGCCAGCCAGAGCCTCAATGTCAGACACTTTCATGTTGTGCTGTGTGGTACTGGCTAGACTTGCCCTATCAGGCTGTCTTTCAAGTGGCACTGGGGTCAGGAGAGGGGAGCTGGGAGCTGTAAAGGAAGTGGGATGGTACCAGCCCAAGGAGGAGGTTTCTGCTGATTCAAATGAGTATTTGAAGCAGTCAGCCTGGGTGTCTACGTCTGTGCTTGTGTTTCCGTCGCATCTGCCATGATGCTGGAGACAGTGTGTGCAATTAGTCCGTGTATAGCTTGCATTTAAAACAACAAACAAAGAAGTTTTCCTGTTGTTGTTCAGTCCTGATTTCATGTAGTCAGATCTATACACTTACTGGTCTACAATGTTTATAAACTGGCCTAGATAGCATATTTTGCCAAAATATTTATTTTTATATCCTGTATGTGTTCTTTTAACCTTGTCGTCCCAATCCTGTAAACTCTTATGCATGTGTCATTCCACACACTTTGAACAAGGCTGTCTGTCAGGTGCAGGCACCTGCCTGAATGCCTAGTGTTCCACTGATGTGTCAGTGTTTGCAATATCAGAGACAGCACAAGCATCTTTCCAGCTGGATCAGGTTTTCAGGTCGATGGACCATTCCAGGTAGTTTGAGTGCCCTGGCATATCATTAGGCAGCTTATGTGGTTCACACATATTTTTTGCTCTCTAGTTGGAAAATCTCTCTGTGGACTTTAATCGAAGTATTTTTTGGGTAGTGTGGTTGCAGAACTTTGATTCAATGCATAYGTATTTCATGATTAAGCTAGTTAAAGGCATGGTGGAGGATATAAGATGAAACAATTGAATTACATTTAGATAATAGTCTCTTTTTCATGGTAATATTTTGACTTTGACCTCAAGGCATTTTGTAGCAAGCATACCTCTGTGTAATATAGATATGTTATTAAAGCAGTTACTAAAAATATATTAACCAAAACATGAGAAATATCGATATATTTCAACATCTAAGTTGAGAACACTTTTTTCTCCTCTGCGTTAGGACCCAGATTCACGAACATGGCATCATTATGTCTATCAGCCCAAATACCTTGATCAGCAAAAATCCGAAGAACTTGATCGTGAGAAAAAGCTGAAAGAAGACAGCCCAAGAAAAACACCTAACAAGGAAAGCTCTGTGCCCAGCCTTCCTGTCTCATTAGCAAGCATTAAAGAGGAGCCAAAAGAGGTCAAGCGTTCTGATTCTCAGTCAGTGGATGAGAACAAAATAAAAAATGATGACCGCAAGACTCCTGTAAATTGGAAGGATTCTAGGGGTGCTAGAGTGGCAGTTTCTTCACCAATGAGTCAGCATCAGTCATACATCCAGTACTTGCATGCCTATCCTTATCCACAGATGTACGATCCCAGCCACCCAGCCTATCGTGCCGTCTCTCCCGTCCTCATGCACAGCTATCCTGGTATGTATGCTGAAACTTGCCTTGAGCACTGGTAAAGACTTACATACTCAAAAAGCAGCGAAGCCCRCATTTTACTATTTCTGTTCATTGCTGGAAGCTTTGCAGATGACATTTGTTTTGCTTGAGCTTACGCTAGGGAAAGTCAACACAAAGTGTTCCTCTTATGAACTGTCAGAGATCCTGACAGTGGTTTCCTCAAGCCTTGACAGTTTGCTGTTGCTGTTAGACTGACAGATAGTTTATTGCCTATAAAAATATTCTAAGCACTTACTGTCAGAACCATTATAGTTACTATTCCTTTCACTTAAAAGAGGACCCATAAATGTCTAAAATGGCTATCAGCTCAGCCCTCTTTATAACCTCCATTCATCAGGGCAAATTAGGCGAAAAAATCGAAGAGCAAAGATACAGTTTGATAGCCATGTGATCCCATTCTGATGTTGTTTCCTGCCTTCACCACCCCCTCCTCCCACTTTGATATAACCAAAATGTAAAAACAATAACTTGATGTGGCATTTATTGTTTACCTGCAGGGGCCTATCTCTCTCCAGGATTTCATTATCCTGTTTATGGGAAGATGTCAGGGAGAGAAGAGGCGGAGAAGGTCAACACAAGCCCGAGTATCAATGCAAAATCAACCACTGAGTCCAAAGCACTGGATTTGCTCCAGCAGCATGCCAGCCAGTATCGCAGCAAGTCCCCTGTTGTAAGCATTCATCTGTTGTAACTGAAGAGCTACGAGGTGGGCTAGAGAATGTTATTTTAATACTCAGAGTATCGCATTAAGCTGTGAGTGCGTGGTGGTTCTTTATAATATTACTTAAAGTAATTTAAAATCTAGATACTTCTTTGATGTAACTTGGAAGAGGTACAAGTAACAAGGTTTTGTGCATAGAGTCTTCCTAACTTAAATATGTTGACTCATACAGAAACCTAGATTGAGTGATATCTCTTCATGCATGGCAGAGTGTGTTATGGTTAAACTAGAAGATCTTACTTGAAAGCAGGTAACGAAGTAAGTTTGGTTTGAGAATCAGCTATATCATCTCCTTAGATGAGTAGATTTGTCATGAAGCCATATCTTAGGAGCAGCAGTGCATCTAGGATGCTAGCATCTAGCATCCTAGCTTCTGACTATTTCCATGTTAGAATAAACGCTGTAGTTTTACTTTCAAATAAGTTGATGCTGTCTTTAATTGTCAGCAAGCCACTGGCTTTGATTCTGCTTTGAAAAGGACATTCTTGCTGCTCAAGCAGGTTTGTTCCTCAGTGTGCAGTAAAGAGGGCTGCGGACTAATTTGCATCAGCTCTCAGCAGTGCAAAGCAGTTATTCAGATACTGGCAGGTCAGCCAGGGAGACCAAAAATAGAGGTCAGCATGGTGGCTTCATGACACAGAGTTTCATCTGAAAATCTGTGCTTTAAAAACTTTCAGATTATATATAACCAGAATACCAGGATTAATTTTGAGATAACTTTGAGCTAGCACAAGTGTAAATCTCCAGCACACTGGAGAATCAACTTCATCATGTGAATTTAAAAACTCACTGACAGGTAATATGATCAAGTGTATTTTGGTTACAATTTTCTCCCCTTTAAAATTCTCACGTCAGTTTTCTTTCGCGGTTTTATTACCAGCCTGTGGAAAAATCTGCAGCCGAGCGTGAACGGGAAGCGGAGAGGGAGCGAGACCGTCACTCTCCTTTCGGCCAGCGGCATCTCCACACACACCATCACACACACGTTGGAATGGGTTATCCACTCATACCCGGTCAATACGACCCATTTCAAGGTGAGCTGTAATGGGTTAGCTTGCCTGGTGGAGTTGTCCCTTGACATTGCAAGTCATACATACGTAAAGCTTTTCAAATAGAGATCCCCTCATTAAATCAGAAGGGTTTTATATTCAGGCAGAAGGCTTGAAAATTCCCAGTGAGTACTAACAGCAAAGAAAACCTCAAGTAAATAGCTTCATTCCTGAGAAATACAAAGTTTTGTTTCCACAACTGATTGTGAGCACATTATTAAAGATTTACCAGTTAGGCTGTTTTTCACTTGAACATTTTGAATCCTGCTTCAAACTGACATTAGCCGAGTAAAAGGCAGGAAAAAAAAAAAGAAACCCCACAAATGACCTCCCTTTTATATAATTAGGATTGTGTGAGCAATGGAAGAAGTCTAGCAAAGACAAAAGCTTTTCATACAGAACATATTTTATGTACAGGGTATTGCAGTCGCAAGGGTCGTAGTTTGTTACAGTTTGAGCCTCTGAAAGAGGGCTCTTTGTGTTCTGGCCAATGCAGCGCATGGAGTTATAGTCAGGGAAAAGGCACCCCAGTCAGGGAAAAGGCCTGATTCATTCTCCCTGGTTTTATAGCAGTCTTTGAGTGGTTTTCTCTAACCTTGGATTCTAGCTGAATTAAAAGGATATTTCCTCCTGTGGAGTAAAGTATGTGCTATCACAATTGGTAGCTAAAATGACATTAATTCATTACGTTCACTCAGTGCCTCAGCAGTTATTTTTTGTGTGTAAAAGTCTTGAAATTTCTCAGTTTGATTCAGTGATTCCATATGCCTTATGGGATGCATTATGCTCGTTCAGTAGGAAAACTGTAAAAATGATAAGTTATTATGAAAGTATTGTATTCTGAGCAGCTAGCATGTCGTTCCAGTAATTCACTGTGACTTTTTGTTCTTGTTGTTTCCTGGTACCTATTATTTCTACTGAGCTTCCTATTCAGGAATTCATACAAATCATTTAGCACCATGCAGAGCAGTACTTGGGAAGTAATACAATAAGTCGGAATGCTGTATTTTCTTGTAAAATACCTATTATCAAGGAGAATTCAGTATACTCTGTGCAGGCACATTGGGCATAATGGKCGGGCTGTCTCAACACTGCTGCCTGAGACATTCCCCTTTTGTGTAGTGTTAAAAGCCATTTTCTAGTGGCAGGTTTGTTTTATTTGTTTGYGTTGGAGCTTCTTCCTCCCATTCTCTAAACACAAAATTCCATTAAAACCAGAAGTGCATCCACATTCTTTTGTTTCTTCTTTCCTTCAGGATTGACCTCTGCTGCCCTTGTTGCCACTCAGCAGGTGGCTGCTCAGGCATCTGCGTCTGGTATGTTTCCTGCACAAAGAAGGTAAATACCCAGCAAATCTGGAGTTATACATCTTAATACAGAGAGGAGAAAGCAAATCATAGTTTTTCTAGCCTAGAGGGCTGCATTTTCTTGTAAGACAAAGTTTTTAGGAAGGGAAGAAAAGTTGGCTGGATTTTAGGTCTGATTATCATTAAGGTGACATTTTGTCTTTGAATTGGGTCCGTTAATTATAACATAGCTTATTAAGAGGTAACAAATAGTTTGCTTTCTGAGTTTTTCCACAGAATATGCTTTAGGTTTAAAGAAAATTGCTAAGAAAAAAACCAAAGTGATTATGATGTACAATTAAGATCCAAATGATTTTAAGAAGGGGATAAAATGTCATATTCAGTTAAGATTCATCTTCCACATGGTAAATTTAGACTTTTACGTAATCTGCGAATCTCTCAGGTTTGCTGATTTTATTTTCAGAGGGTTTTTTGAAGAGTCCATTAGCTGTTGTATCATTATTAAGGTACATAGGAATCCCTTGCATTCGCCTCATAGTTATTTCCTAGGTTGTGAATAAGATTTACTCTTCGACCTCCAACAGGAGAGACGCCCTTCTGGGTAATAATGATCCTGTTCTAAGTGAAAACTCAGTGCACTCATAACAGTAGGATCCCTTTCATCACCTCTGTGTTAAGTCTCAGAGTTTAATGTGTTACACAGTGCTATAAAGTTCCGTGATTACTGGTGTCTTTCGGGAAACAAGTGACCRTGTAAGACTCATAGCTTGAATTATTTGAGTGGGAGAGGAGGTTTCTAACTCTGAAAGACCCATCGCAGGGCAGGGTTTCGGGAGTCAGAAGATAAATCCTGACACGGTTGTTCGTATATTGACCTCTGTGGGGGAGGGATGAGGATGGGACTTGCTGTCTCTGCGGCGTGAGATCGAGTGCTGTGCAGGTCTYGTTCCACAGCGTGTCCGAGGTGCAGAAGGTGTTAGGGGAAACGCGAGACTTAAACATTCTTCTTTCTCTTTTCAGAGAATGATGAGTTTGGAAATATACGTTGTCATGTGACTGGATCACATGAGGAAGCGCTTTATTACAGACATCAGTTCCATGGTGTTAATTTGAAATGCCTTAATGGCAGGCAAAAACCAGTCATTTCATTTTTGTAAATCGCAGATTTTATCACAGAGTAACAAATGTTGCTGTAATTAGACTTCTGTTTTTATATATATATATATATATGCGTATATATATATATACATATATATATAAAAATATATATATATTCTTTACTTTTTTTGTATCAATAACCAGGCTCGCACACAGGGTCTGCTGCTACATTGCAAATCACACAATAATGGGGATAATACATTCACGTGATAAACRAACACCTATAGCACGTTCATGTTTTTCACGTGTTTATCATGAAAGGCCATTTGTTTCTTTTCTTCTTCCCTTTTTCCTCTTTTCTTTTTTCTTTTTTTTTCCTTGCTTTCTAATTGTAAATAAATATTGTTATGTATCAGTGTGCCTGAACCTTGCATACCCTTATTTCCTACGAGCCCTCGGAGAGGCTAACTGTGATGACACTTTGGTACAATGTAGATGTCTATTTGGTGGCTCCTATTAAGATGCATCAGTGTAAAATGTTACTGTATTAACTGTTTCATTGTAATTGTGTATTGTGAAAGATAAACATTTGGAAGGCATGGGGATAACAGTACCACAAAAACTGTGTTGTACATAATTGTATAGATTTTAAATGGAAGATAATGAGCATCTGTGAATAATGAAATGTCTTTTTTGATAATCTTGAATGGCAAATAACCTGATAGCCTGCATACGAGAAGACATCTGTGATTGTTCTATTACTTGAATAGTCCTGCAGTCTTTTTTTTAATGTTTACAATTATCCAGTTTTAGAAGAGAGACTTTAATGCCATTGCCTGGTTACTTGTTTTATGCTGTAATCTAGTTTATTTTATGTAAAATGTATATTGAATGCTTTCATTTTTATACCTGCCTTAAATAATTTGGCAATCAGAATAAAGAAAAAAAAAAGTTGTTTTTGTACTTCCCCAGTGTCTGTCTCAAGTTGCTTTCCCGGTGCCCGCTCGGAGCGCGGCGCCGTCGACGTGGGCAGGGAGCCGGCGGCTGCTGGAGCAGGAGCAACTGCGCCGCCTCCACAGGCTCCAGCAAGGCCCTAATAAGCTTGGTGGTATTAGCAGTACTTAAACCTCTAATGCCCCTGGTAGAGCAGCTGTGCACGCTATAAATTGTAGGCYGTTTTTCTATGTTTCATCGGTACTGCCTCAGTTAAATGAATAGACACCTAGTCACGGAGGACGTGTAGGCAGAAGTCCCATTCCTACCCATGTTACCGAAAAGGAAACGATTTTATAGGCTTGCCACCTGTTTTGTTCCAGGGCTGTAAATGCACAATAACATGAAAGAACACTGATTATGGCATGAAAAAAAGATTTACTGGTCATATTTTCAAGGCTTTACCTTTTATCCTTTCCTGGTCATTCCATTTACATTGGGCGGCAAAATTGGCTTTAGAGTTCTCTGTCCTTTTTTTTATTTTACTTGGCAAGATGAATTACGGGAGGTTAGACCTTGTTTATGAAGTGGGCTCCATTTCTCTTGCCTTGTGAATACTTAATATGGAAGGATGAATTAAAGATTCCCAACAGACAGGCACACTTGGACTTTTTATATTACTATGATGAATCTGCCGTTAATATTGCTATAATTGTTTTATTTTTATAGGCATAAAATCAGTCCCCTTAGTGACTAGTAATAAGGTTTATTGATTTTTACTGCACATTATTCATCTCCAGCTTACTCATACCGCCTTGTTCGGAGCGCGGTCAGAAATCTCCCGGCGCTGACATGTGACAAATTAGCCTCGTAGGGAATGGGGAGGAAGGGTGTTTCCTCAGGGCGGAGGCGCTGCGGACCCAGAGCTCCCAAACAATTAAATAAGTGCCCTATTACTTCTATATTAAAAGCTCTGATGGCTTTTGTACTGAAATGCGCCATCGATTGCTTCTTTTTTTTTCTCTTTTCAGCCTAGACCGTTAATGCTTCTGCAGCAAAACAGACCTTATAAATTCACGCTGTTGGTGATTTTGATTTAGTGTGGTTGAAGATTGAGTGTCGTAAGTAACTGGAATGAATTACTCTGATTGATACGGGGTAAGCAGCAGTTTAAATGATAATTAATGTTACAGCTTTATTACATCCTTGAGGTCCATGCGGGGGTGAAGCTGCCATTGACACTCGCTGCCTTCCTCCGCAGAAAGGCCTCATCCCTTTCCCTCCATCCTTGCCCGTGCCCCTCGGTTTGGCACTCGCCGGGCTGAGCCCTTGAGTGTGTGGGGTGAGTGGGGCTCCCCAGCGGCCGYGGGGCTGTGCCAGGGCACACAGAGCTGCAACCCGTCCTCCACCGTGTGAGACTCCAGAGCAAATGGCAATAGGAGGAAGAAAGAATTTCACGAGCCTGGAAGCTGCCCAAGCACCACGGGATCTGTCGGCAGGAAAGGGTCCGTCTATGTGCCGCGGGACAGCTGCCCCTGCTGGTCCCTGCCAGGACGAGGCCCGGGCTCGGTCCCCTCGGCTGGCCCCGCTGCCCTGCTCTGCTGCCRTGCGCACCCTCGCGCTGGTGCTCGCGCTGGGGAGGAAGGCACCRCGGGTGCAGGAGAAGGGATGTCCTGAGAGCAACGATGCAGCTTCCATGCCTGGGGTGGGACGGGGCCGACACGAAGGGCTAGCAGAGCTGGAGTGCAGCTTTTCCCGCGGGGGCGGGAGTGACGTTCTCCAGTTTATCATTTTGGGTTCCCAGTGACCCTAAGGAGCACATAAGACTTGGCCACCTCAGCGCCRTGCCGCCCTCCCCTTCTTCTCCCAAGGACCTTGCTGGCAGTAAGCATAGGGTAGGCACAGGGGAGTGTGTGGTCTTGTCCCGCCACCCCCATTGCCCACTAACAAGGCCACTAACTCGCTTCCATTTGTGTCATCCCACACAGCCCCCCCTGTCCTTCCTGTGGGCACAGCTGACATCTGCGTGCAGCCCTGTTCACAGCCCCTGTTGCCTCCCCTCTTTGCTTTTATCACACTGCCCACTTTGACCTGTGCTTTCCCCCCGGCTCCCGTATCTTAGTCTRCGTTAATGTGTTCTGTCTCTCTTCAGTCAAAAGTGTTAGGGACAGGGAACACGTCTTGCTTCAGATTTATACAGCGCAGTTCATATTTATATTTCCTTCTGGATAACAGCGACGGATGCTTTTAGCATCTCTCAGGAGATAGCTCAAGATGTTTGATGAGTAGCTCGAACAGACCATTACTAACAAGGAGCTGGAGATAGTGCTCAAAGCCTTCATGGTTTTAAAAGGTCTGTTGAAACCACCTTGCTCCTCAAAAACTGGGAACAAGACTAAGCCCTTGCAGGCATTTTGCAGCCGTATCGCCATGTGTCAGAGTGAATTGCAGACATAGTCATTATTTGCTGAACCCRCTTTGTTTTGTTTTACAAAGGCAGCTCTGTTTTCTCCATTTATTCAAGTTTTAGCCCTCTGCTTGGCTTTCTGTTCTGTTTTTTCTATAGTGTTAGCATGAACTGTGATTCCCCTTGATAGACTTATTTTGCTCAGGTCAGTTTTTCCTAGGTTCACATAGCCTTAGCCTTTTCTTTCAAGATTTTTATTATTTTTGTGGGGATCTTTCCTACTGTTATTTTTATTGAGCAGTAAGAGGATTACATGAGGCAGAAGAGACACTTGACTGTTGGTAGCAGAGTAAGATTTCCATTACAATTTAGCATGGAAAAACAGCTGTTAGTTTGTACTTGTCTTACCTTCCTGACCCCTTTCTTTGTTGCACCAGATTTAACAAATTTTGTATTTTTCAGAGAGATTTTAAAACAAAAATGTCTAATGGCTTATAAAAGCTTTTCAACTCATTTTCCAATGTTGTCTTTACTGAGTCAGTGAGCCTTCTCCTCTGCCCTGAGAGCAAGGAARGTTCATTTTTATTTTTTTGATGTTTAATAGTTAAATCTCTTTCATTATGAGGGAGGCCTTTTGAAGATTATGATTTTTTACTTACTTAACCATTTCCTTAAAGCTCTGCTGTGTGTATAGACAGCCATTAACCTAAGCTGAATTTACACATGTGCAGTGGTGGGAAGCAGGGCCCTATTAAAGTCCTTGCGGTGGGAGTCAGCAATTTTTATGGAGCATCTGCTAAAAGGTGCTTTCCACCTCAGCAGCAAATCTGAAACTTCTGGCCCAGACGGACAAATGAGCGAACTTTAGGATTTAGCAAAGGTAACTATTATTTGCAACCTGGCARTGTTAGTCACGTGGAAGCATGTTGTTCCACCGTAATATCACACAAAAGTGCCTGCAGTTTGCTTTGGCAGGAGGTGGCCTCTGCAATGTGTGCTCAGCCCTGCAGGCAGGTTTCTCGCGCGCAGAAGAGGCTGCTCCCCAGCCAGCAGCAGGGAGCCCTGCTGGGCGCTGCAGAAATGACCCATGGCCCTTCCTCTGGGSGCTGTGTTCCCTGAGGAGGGTGGGAGGAAGCAGGCCAAGGACTACAACAACTGCAGGGAAGGCTCTGTGTCTACGTTTCATACACATGCCGGAGCGGGGTGCAACTGTAGTGCCCTTTCATCTGCACCTTTCTCCAGATCTGTCCTAAATCAGCTCATGTTTGCAGTCATGAGCCTCACCAAGGCTCTGATTTTTAAGCGGAGCTCCATATTAAAAAGGTCATCAAAATGTCAATGGCACAGTATGTCTGCCCATGTCATGTCCTGCAACAGTACAATTTAATACCAATCCCARCTCACAATCTTCTTACTTTGAAATAAGGTGGCTGGCTCCCTGGCCCCGTTAATAGAGAATTTGCCATATCCTCAGCCTGTGGAGATGGCCGTGATCTCTGCTGAAGTCAACTGACTGCTTTCCCTTTTCAGCTGYCAAAGGTTATTTGCTCTGAAGAAACAAGAATGTGCAGAGGAAAATACCACAGAGAGCACCAAAAATAGCAAAATAAAATGTAGTCTCTTACACCAAGTCACC